ATACCTAGTTGGCCCAACACCGATATCCACTCATTCAGCCCATACTCACTTACGAATCTATTTGGGAATATTTAACTGATCACTTTAATTTACCCAATATATATAAATAGCACAATATAATTATTAATATAATATGTGACCCACAATAATTATTAGCAAATATAATTTCCTAACAACTGATCCCCTCTCTCTGAGGGTTCGGTTTAGTAATTAGACCCTACTTGCATGTTGATCTCTCTAACCCCCGAAATCCCCTGGTTGAAGCCGTGACTCCCGGGTTAGAGGGGTCAAAGGGGTCTTTGCATTTTTTTAATAAAAAAATATATACACGAAATGATATTGTTTGATGTGTAAAAAAAAAAACAAAAACAAAAACTTATGCTGCCTAGCTTTAGAACTAGATCTAAAATCTGAATCGTTCTTCTTTTCTTCCGATCTTCTCTCCCAGACTCAGACTCAGTCTCCTTGTTCCGGTAATCTCCTAAACCGTGATGGTTCCTCTCTCCCCACCATTAATTTGTCGTTTCGCCGCCTCTCCTATGCTATCCTCTATTGAATAAAGGATCTCTTTTCACATTCTGTTGTATGTGCATGAGAAAAATAAGAAGGGCTTGAGTTTGGTGATATAACTTTTCATTAACTCCATTGAAATATGTGTTTTATACTTTAATTAGCTTGTGAATATTGACTTGTGGATGTAATTGGTTGAATTATGTTAAGTATATTTTGAATCTTTAATGATTGGTGGTTTGATTTTTTGAATTTTTAATATAGAATACATATTTATATTTTTTTAATATATAAAATCGGGTCAGTTAAGTGACCCTGTGATCCCTCGATTGAACCCCTAACCTCGGCCGAGTCGATGGCCAGGCGAGATTTTTAAACACTGTTTATAACTGGTTTTTTTTTTTTTGGTAATATATATCTGGTTCTTTGCTTAGTTAATTTTATGATCAAATAAACCAATTTGGTTCATTTATATTTATTTAATAATGGGGACTAAATAATTTGTCCATCCCAAAACATTAGTCACGACTCACGAGCAATTTAGAGATGAAATGAAAACTAATTATTGTTTAGTTATATGTTATATAAGTTATTTATATTCATTTTCAAAACGACATTGTTTTAGATTGAAAGATTAAAAAATTACAACGATAATAACTACAGAAAAATATTTCTGCAGTTAATTCAGATAAGTTATCTGCATTTACTTCCAAAACACTGTCGTTTTGGGTTTGAAAGATTAGAAAATTATAATTATAAAGACTATAATAATTCTGAAATAAATTAAAATTACAAAAATACCATGATTTCCGCCTCAAAATGACGTCGTATTGAGCTTACTGCAGATAACTTATCTGCATTAACTGCGGAAAAAACAAACTCTAAAAACAATTATAATCTTAGAATAAATTATAATTACAAAAATATGATAAAGGAGAAAAATTGAGAATTAATGAGATGTTAATTTTACCTTTCTTAAAAAATTAATATAATTATTATATTTTACAAATAAAAATAAATATAAAATTTATAAAAAAAATTATTTATGTAATTTCACATTAAAAAATGATTTTCCCTCTAAACAAATATTTTCTCTCTCTAAAAAATATTTTTTCTCTAAAATTGTCTATTTCACATTAAAACTAAATTAAAATTATTGAATTTTTTTTATAAAATCACATATATAAAAGTAAATCACTTATCTTAAAATAATGTAATTAGAAAAAAAGTAGTTTAATAAAATAACTTTAAGAAAGGGAAAAAATCAAAAAAATTGAGAAAAAGAGTAAGGGCACATTAGTAATTTACTATATTTCCCATTTGAGACCCCACAAATTAGGGAAACTCTAAAATTTAGGGTGAGAAAGGTATTGAAGGGTTTTATAAAAATTCACTAGCAAAAAAAATTAAAATATTTCTATTTTAATAAATAATTATGAAAATATAGCTGTTTGAAATAATTTACGAATTTATTGCACTCAATCACGTTCAAAATGGGCATGCGCATGACAACTCACGCCTCATTTGGACGTGATTTGTCACTCATTCACGCCCAGAAAAGGCGTGACCCATATGGTATTGACATGTGACACAAAAAAGCCAACAGTTTGACCGTAAAACTTTGAAAGATCATAACTTTTGACTTGGGTATTCGAATCAGGTAAAAAAACAATTTATTCGATATAACTTTTCAAGATCTACACAATACTATCTCATTGAAGGGGATTTGGTAAAAAAATTCCATTTTTTTTTCAAATTTGCAATAATGGTGCCACCACAATTGCAATTATCTCCCAATTTTTTTTTAAAAAAAGGACAACATACGCTTATTTGACTTTTTGACCCATTTGCCCATTTTTAAAACAAAAATTAACAAGTCCGTATTTGACCGTTGACTGAATGATATAATCGATTACATGAGCTCAAGTTTACCGTAAAACTTGAGAGAGCCAAAACTTTTGGCCCGATAATCCGAATTAAGTGATTTTTTTAATTACACATAATTTTTTAAGATTTAAGCACTCGCAAATTTTTAGAGAATTATTTGTTAATGTTGAAAAGGAAAAATTTAAATAACATCATCCACAAAGATAAAAATTACCAAACGGGCACAAAAAAGCATTTGTTGGGAAACTTTTTTGGCAAAAGTCCCTTTGGGTATTTGCCAACACATAACTCTCGATTAATTACGTGGAATAAAAAAAGGATTTGCATTTATCATGTCACATGTGACATGACACAAAAAAGTCTCCTACACTCACAACATTTTGTGGGATCCACACTTTTTAAAGCAAAAATAAAAATAAAAAATTAAGGCACGCAAAACGAATCTTTGTAAAATTACACAATCACTTTTCCTACAACATAACTCTTATAAAACCCATAAAAAACACATGATTCAGATACCCGAGTCAAAAATTATGCCCTTCCAAAGTTTTATGATAAAATATCTCAAATTTTTAAATTTCTTTTAACCAAATCCCCCTCAATGACATGTCATTGCGTAGATTTTGAAAAGTTTTATGAAATAAAAAGAAATTTACCTGATTTTGATACCCTAGTCAAAAGTTATGCCATTCCGAAGTTTTACGGCAAAGTGTTCAACTTTTTTGTGTGTCTCGTGTCAACACCAAATGATTCACTCTTTTTCCTGAGCGTTAATGAGTGAGGGGTCACCCATAAATGAGACGTGATTGAGTGAAATAGATTCGTAAATTATTTCAAAATAACTATATTTTCATAATTATTTATTAAAATAACAATATTTTAATTTTTTTTGCCAAAATTTCCTATTTCCTTCTTCCATTTTTTAAAACTCACATAGAAGAAAAAATATAGACAAAACGTTCCCCTTTCTTCATTTTCTTTCTTGATATTAACTCTCAAACACCCTTATTTTCACATTGATTTCCTACCAACGATTTCATGGTAGGGTAGCATGGTTTGCTAAAACTGCTAGACTACTATCACACTTATTTGTTTTATGTTTTAGGAGCCTCCTAACTTTTCGATAGATGCAATTTTGAATTTTCCTCAATTTCACATCCGTAAAAGGAAGATCTACTGTTATTTGTGCAATGCTTAAGGGGAAAATACTTCTGCTGTTACTGCAGAAGTATTTTCTTCCTGCCGCAATTTTAACAAATTTTTTTGTTTATTTTTTATTTTGTTTTAAAACAAATATCGTAGATTCCATAGTGTTTCTCTGTTTGCGAAAACTTTTATCTTCTTCTGTTAAAGCAGAAGTTGAAACCCCATGCATAATAAACAAAAATAAAAAGGTGGTGATATTTTTTCTTTTAAAAAACATTCTTTTACATAAATTTATTACACAATTTAATAAAAGATATGTTATTCTACCAGTGTTAATAAAATTGGATCGACTCGAAAACCGATAAACTCGTCATATAACCAGTTCGGTTGAAGCAACGGACTGGCCATGCATCAGAACCGGTGCGATCCGGTGCGACTTGTCTAATTTTCATGAAAACCAATCACTCGGTCGGTTAACCTGTGACCCGACCCGGTCCAAAAAAAAAATTCAAATTTTTTTTTCCAAAAAAAAAATCATAATAGACATATTTGAATATTTTTTTGCTTATTGACTTACATAAGTTATGTACGTATAACACTAATATTATCTCAATTATGTACTATGCAGAAAATTTTGATTTGATTTATAGTTAGAGATGTCATTTTCTGAACCTAAAGTCCTGTATCACGATCATTATATTTTTGTTCGATTTTTTATTGGATAATAATATGTGATTCATTATTTTTTATATTAAAATATTTGAAATTTTTATCATTTTTTTAGATATTTGAGTATATTTATAATTTTTTAATATAAATTTTAAAATTACATATAATTACCGGGTCATGCGGTTGAACCAGTGACCCACTGGCTCAGTACTTCAACCGAATCAATGACCGAGCCGTTTTTAATAACATTGATTCTACCTACTTTTTTCACTTATCTTTGTCTATCACTTTTCATTACCATTATACCAGAATTTTAATAGAAGAAAAAAATTATTAAGGTAGTCTATATTCTAATTTAATGGTATTAGAAAGTGATAGATAAAAATAAATAAAAAAATAGATAAAATAATATATCCCATTTAATAATGATACGCACGAAAGAATTACCTGCTTAACATTTTACTTTGAAGAATACTATTACAGATATAGAAAAAATATTTGTCATAATCTGATAAAATTAAATAAGAGTTATTGAGTCAATTAAAACGGTTGAAATTACTCTTTTTTATTTATTTAAGGTCAATACAAATGCTAACACATTTCAGAAACAGTTCTGGAAAAAAAAAATTAAATACACTTAAAAGTATTTAAATGTATTTTTAAATATTTCCTTATCCAACAAAGAGCTCGTGATATGACACGTGACTAGAAAATAGCTACCACAGAAAAATCCAGATGAGTATAAAATAGGGAGGCAGAAGCTGTAGCACACAATCACAATAAAAACACCAAAATTTGAGTAACACACAGAAAGATAGAGTGAACCAACATCATCACTTTCTCCTTCTTCTTCTTCCCTAACATTAACGTTGTTGTGTGTCCGAATCCGATGGACTTCACCACTTTCTCCAATTCCAGAGCCTCTTCTCATGCAATTCCTACCCCACACCCTTTTCGCCTTCAACCCTCTTCTTTTTCTTTCCAGCTTCGATTTTTGGTCTGCAATTGCTTCTCTCTCTCTCTCTCTCTCTCTCTCTCTCTCTCTCTCTCTCTCTCTCTATATATATATATATATATATATATATATATTCTTTTATTTTTTATGTTCTTCAATTTAATCTGATTTTTATTTTTAATTTATTTTTTTCAGAATTTAAAGCCTTTGGGCTTGGTTGAGAATCGTTTGGTTGCCCGTTGCACTTCTGGGTCTGATGAACTTGGCTCTGTTAATGGGTTGCCATTTACACCCAATAAGCTTTTCGTGCAGGAGGTATGGATTCTATTCATTTTCCTGTCTTTTGTTCAAGTGTTCAAATTCATGTTGTTGATTTTTCCCCCCAATGTTTTGCATACAACCAAGTTTAAATGTTTTTCTTTTATTATTTATCTTTTTGTGTGTGCTTTTTCGACCTCTCCATATTGTGCAATCTCATTGGAACCGTGAATTGAGTGATGTAAAGTGATTGGAACTCTTTGGTGTTTTCTTCCAGGCTATTGGAGCTGAATATGGGGAAGGCTTTGAGACTTTTAGGGCAGATGGACCATTGAAAGTTGATGTGGTAAGGAATTTTGGTCACCATGGAATTTTATAGTTTTCCTTTAGACTTGGTGGTTATATTGCCTCACGGCACTCTTTTGAAGCCAATTGTACTGTAATTTTTGACTGACGGATGATATATCTTATTGAAAATAGGACTATTTGAATGATAAATTGCAAGATGGTTTTCTTCAGCGCATACGCTATGCTATGAAGCCAGATGAAGCTTATGGTCTTATATTCTCTTGGGACAATGTGGTGGTAAGTAATTTTAACTCAAGCTTGTAGGTTTTTTATTCTTTTTGGTTAGACTCAAACTGTGCTAGATAGTTGTCTTTACTATAGTATTCTTCCATGTTTTAGAAATGTGAAGTGATGCAAATTGTGTTAATTACGTGTTCTGATTGTTAATTACGTGTGGGACTGTCTTGTATGATTGAAAGTCTTGAGAAAAGAAGAGTGTGACCACACATAATATTACGCAACCAGTCAGTTTAAATTAATTGCCTGATAGCGGTATGTAATTTGTTTCAGGCTGATACTCGAGCTCTGAAGAAGAAGGCATGGAAGCAACTGGCGTCCGAAGAGGGTATGTTGATTGTTTTGATTGTGGGACTTAGATGGGGTGATCTTTAGCATGCTCTTTTAGATGGCTGGAACAAAATAAAAATAAAAGGATGCAACTGGCATGAAGTATAATGAATAATTATTCTTATGCTCAGATATTTAATTGATATATGTCTATTTGGGAAAACAAATTAGACTTAGTAAAAAGGAAAGGAAGTTTTTTTTTTAATTATAATCTTACCCTTTGAGCTCATCAGTTGTTATTGATTTTTAAAACGTTTCCTTTTTATTGTTGGGAAATGGTAGATGAAAATGGAAGCTTCAGAAATTTTGATAAAAAGCTTTTACATGCCCTCCACTTTCCATTCACTTTTGAAGGGAATATAAAGTTAAAGAAAAATTCTCCCAAGAGAACACCTCCCCCTCCCCCCGCCCCCCTTCTCTCCTCTTTTCCTTTTTGCCTATTGTAACAAGGAACTTGGCGCTTCCTTCCATTATTTTCATTCAGTTCCCTTCTCTTTCCTTCTGTCAATCCTTATGAAAGTGACTTAATGTAAGAGGCTGCCATTTTGAAGGAGTGTCAGTTTAATCAAGTACAATGAACAAAAACATAGCCAATTTTTCATGCAGCTGACTCACAAATACATTTGAGTTTTTAAATTTACTGATGATTCATATGCATCATTGCAGAGAAAGATTATAATATATAACATTTCATATGCAGGGAAGGATATTCCTGAAGGCAGTGATATGCAAAGATTAATGCTTTATGCCGGTGCTGATCATGTGTTACATAAGGTTAGTTGGCTTTTTCTTTTGGTTAGTTGGTTTTACAAGAGCATTGAATTATAATGAAATGCTTTCTTAAAAGATAGTATCATCATTCAAAATTGCAAACTTGCTCTCAACACAACTTATTTTTGCTGACTAACCTTTCTTAATTTGCAGCATTTTCTCTCAGATGGGGCAGAAAATGAACTGGATAGACTAAAATTTAGGTTCTCTCAGTTATATTATGATAATCTTCTAAAAGTAAGTTGTTGCCTGATTTTTTCGGACAGTCATTATCTAGTAGTGTCCGAGGGGGTAAATCTGACATTTCTTGCACGTAACTTTGTCTAGCTTGAAAGACCAATGGAGGGCATCAAAGACTGGTTGGAAGCTGTTTATACAGCTCGCATCCCTTGTGCTGTTGTTTCAAGTCTTGATAGAAGAAATATGGTAGAAGCTTTGGAACGAATGGGGCTCAAAAAGTATTTCCAGGTTGGTAACATATTTCTTGGGTCACAAATTTTTGGAACGAATGGGGCTCAAGAAATACAGCTTGCATCCCTTGCTTCCCGAATTATGGCATAACAAACTTTATTTGGTCTTGGATTATACTCAAAAGACCAGAAAATCTTATTTCTTTTCAGGTTATCGTTGCCAAGTATAATGTACTTAATTTATGTAGTTTGTTGAGTGCGGTTGTTAACTTCTACTTCAGTTTGAGTTATGATCAATATATTTATAAGAATGCTGTTGAAATATTTTCACGAAGAAAAAATGCAGTTTGTTTTTGCTGTAACTTAAGATCTAGATCCATTATAGGGAATTAGGGATATTAAAAGGCTTTCACTACTTTTCTTGGGTAATCCCAATTGATAACTTGGCCTCCTTATGGCTAGAACTAATTTTCAACCTATTGTGTGTACTAGATATAGTATGTAAATCTATAAACAATTTAATATGCTCATGAATGTGCCACTTGTTGATTGCCTCATTTGATTTGTAGGCAATTGTGACAGAAGAGGATGGAATGGAATCAATAGCTCATAGATTCCTTTCTGCTGCTGTCAAGGTACAGTTCCACCCATATGATTCTATTTTGAATTTTTGATGAAACATTTCTGGCTTGGAATTATTATTATTGCTATATTTATTATGACTTTTTTATACTTATCTTTTCTACATATAGTATAATTACATGTAGGCTAGTTTCCAGCTCTACTAAATACCAATACGGTAGACATTCTGTAAGTTAAAGTAGTAGTCTACTCTACCTATGATAAAACATGAACCACAGCTCTGGATTTATACTAACGTGTGTGTAAAGTTGAGTTTTCCTGTATTTTGAAGTTGAAAGATATTATGAGGACAATGATCATTGAGTTGCTCTATGCAGACTAAGAAGACAGAATTAAATTATATATATATATATATATATATATCCCCCTCCCCCCCCCCCAAAAAAAAAGATGTGAGGTGAGTGCTGTTGTAGTTTTAAAGGTCAAGATGTTAAGGGCCTCTGCATATTTTTTTTTGGTGATATCGTCACTTGTATTTTCCTTTTTTAAGATTAAGATCCTGATTGCAACTTAGGAAAACATGTAAAATTTTGGTCTCTCATAATTTGTTCTCCAAAAAATTATTGCTGTTAATTGTGTGGCCTTAGACATTGTTCACAATAAATGCCAAAGGGCCAAAGCACCAATAATGAATGAAGCTATTTTTGAGATGTGGCATTGGTATTTTATGTAGGATTAGTTTAGGTCCCATTGGCTAATTATTTTGCAAGTCTTCCCTACTTCTAGGCATCTTATTATTTTGAATTTGAACTACAGTATCCTGCTAGTTTTCAACCTGTTTACCTAAATGCCTTGCAGCTGGATCGGAAACCTTCCAAGTGTGTAGTTTTTGAAGACGATCCTAGAGGAGTAACCGCAGCACACAATTGTACAATGATGGCTGTAGCATTAATTGGAGCTCATCCCGCGTGAGTAATTCACACTTTATGCATAAGATGTTGATTTGAGAATAAAATTTCATGAAACAAATCAGGCATGCATGTTTCCAATATAATGCTTGCATGTGCAAACACTGTTTCCCACGTACATGAGTACATAGAAGTCAGTTTTGGGTTAGCTTCCGAGGGATAACATTAATCCATCTTATTTCCCTTCCATTGAAATGAAAGAGTAATTTCCAATCTATTGCACTCTTTAGTATTTCAAAACAAGGGATAGGTTATACTTAGCACTATTTTTTCTTACCAACTTTGTTATTGTTGAATCAAAATCAAATCAACGGTTACAATGTAACATCAAGTGAGAGCTGTTGATTTGATTGTGATCCAACGATAATAAAATTGGTACCAAGAAGTGGTAAGAAAAAAAAGTGGCAAGTATAACCTTCCCTTGAAAACAAATGATGAAATTATTCTTTTGGCATTTAGTAACTGATTCATGTTGAAACCTACAGGTACGATTTGGGGCAGGCTGATCTTGCTGTAGCTAACTTTAGTGAACTTTCTGTGATCAACTTGCGAAGACTATTTGCTGACAAGGGTCCTACATTTATGGACCTGCAGAAGCAGTTCATAGAGAAAAATCCTCCGAAAAGGAAACTTACCATAGACACCATTTTCTAATATGTTTTCCTTCCCATTCCCTTTTTTTCCCTTTAGTTTTCCTTGTAATTAAATGATTATGTAGCCTTAATTTTTTTAATATCAAATAAAATTGCAATCAGTTCGGTCTTATGTAATCCATACGTTCTATATCAATTTTTATACTACCGATTTTGCCAAATTGAAAAAGGGTTAGTAACACCCCCTGGGTCACTCCACCAGGAGCTCTTTGGAACAACATAATATAGATCCGAATATGAAAGGTGATTGATATCTGAAACAACATCATGAGGGATCCAAATCCTTAGTAATGTATCTTATAGCTATCTAGATAATCGGTTTGCTAAAGATGATATGATATGAACTGAACTCTAGCTATATTCATTATGCCGGCACCGTAGTTTTTACTATATTTTTCAAGGGAAAAAAGTATCTAATGTTATTTTAGATAATTTTATTTAATGTTCATCGAAACGACGTCGTTTTAGAGTTGAAAAATTAAAAAAATAGAATGATAAAGATTATTATAGCTCTGAAATAAATTAAAATTACAAAAATACTATTATTTTCGTCCCAAAACGATGTCGTTTCGATGAACATTAGATAAAGTTATCTAAAGTAACTTTAGAAAAAACAAACCCATTTTTCAATTGCAATGTCAATTTTAAGGACAACACTCTCACTGAGACAGCCTAGATTCCACTTTTCATCTCCCGATCATCTATAAATTTCAAAATCATTCGATTGATCTTCTCTTGCCAGATTGTACTACAGATGCTCTATTTATCATGACAATGAGAGACAGCAATCAGATAGGAGAATGTTTCATTCCTTATACAAATTCTCTGAAGGAAGATTCAACAGTGAAGCTAATTCCTTTAGAATGGGTAGCTTTGAATTATATTACCTGGACAGAAAGCCTAATCAATCTATTTACATAAATTGCTTGGCATATGAATCTTGTATTTCTATTAGCAATTGAAATAAGGTCAACATTTTTTAATTGAACTCATACTTAACAATAACTCTATTATTATTATTATTATTATTATTATTATTATTGGGTATGAAGTGATTGAAGTCGGAGACTTAAATTATGTCATGAGTAGAAAGTCAAATTATAAATTATGGTTACTATTACTATTTGTCTATCATAACCTACAACCAAAAGCAAAAAGATAACAAGCCAAAAAGTTATACAAACTAAGAAAGGCTAAGTCAACATAATTTGGAAAATAATTCTTAAAAATCAGTTTTTCTCATGGAAAAGGAGGCATAAATATCAAATAAAGTCAGCCACTTAATTCTCTCCGAACACATCCGAATATGTCATATTTAAGATCGCACTCTCCTTCTTTTTGATTCGTGAAATGAACCGAACAATACACATTAATTTCCCCTGTAAACATACTAAAGAGGCAGATTATCGTAAACAATATTCCTCCCTTCCTTGTAGATGGTTAGATGCATATAACTCTTAAAAAGAAATATGGACAACATTTCGAAAAAAACTAGATCCCACAATGCTACTTCTATCATTTTTCACATCCAAAAACATGGCAATATGTTTAGACAGGACATTTATATCACCACCCAGATAAGCCTCACTTATGGGCTATTATCTGTGTTACTTTTACCAAGCTTTCCTCTTGTATCATCAAACCATTTCAACACCAATTTTTTTATTTTAATTTCAAGTTCAAAGCGCCTCATGAAAATTGGTTCTCCTTTTTTTAAAAAATAAAAAATAAAAATAGGCATTGGTACAACCTTATGCTCTTGAATGAGTCTGATTGACTCAATTTGAATAGCTTTGGGGTGCAAAGGTGGTACAATTGGTCTTACTCTTAGACTTTTTTTTTTTTTTTTTTTTTTTTTTTTAAATATTTTGTTTGCGAGCGCGTGTAGTATTGTCAATTTCAACGGCGTGTGAATGGATCGAGAAGTGATTTCCCTTATCTTTCTTATCGTTGAAAACCCATTAACACTGCGAAAGCGAAAACAGCTTTTGAGCTTCAAACTCAATCATGTTCTGCCTCAACAGTACCTTCAGCTTTATCATACCGTCGACGTTTACGCCCAGAACATCAAGTTTCGTTTTTTCCTCAAACTCAAGGACCCCAATTACCCCCAAATCAAGGACCCCAATTTTCTGCACCCTTCCAGGTACGTATTCTTTTCCCTTTTATCTTATTAGGGTTTAATGCCAACTGGTTTTCCTTCCCTCTTGTTCTTTTCACCAATTCCCTCCTTCGTATGCTATTTCATAGCGCATTTATTCCTTAATTTATGATTTTTTTTTTTTGTTTTTCTAATATCTGAATTCTGGAAAATCATATCCAGGAACAGTTGCTGAACCAAATGCAGCAACAACTGCTGCTGAACCACTTTTACTTAACGCAGTTCGTGGTGTAGATGTTGAAAGACCACCAGTTTGGCTCATGAGGCAAGCAGGGAGGTACATGAAGGCAGGTTTATGCAGCTAATTGATATGTTTTTATTATAAATATTCATTATTTGGGAATTTGGTCATAATTGAAGAAGACTAACTTAATAGTTTGGTGTGGTAAATTTTGGTATATTAGTTACAAGTTATTGTTCTGAATCACTTACTCTTTAAACCAAAATGAAAGACCAGAAATGTGGATGTTTCCCATATGCTGTGTGGGATTGTGTTACTTTATGAAAAAGAAACTGCATTTGATATAAATAGATATTTGTTTTCAACTCTGTCACTTTTCATTTTTTCCCTTTTGTCTAAAACCAAACATGGCTAGGGGAATGTTTAACATTTTCCAAAATTTATCTCCATTTCAGAAGATTGTCTAGAGTTTTCTAGACTGAATTCAGCCCAAGTATTTGTTTGAATTGTAACATTCCATGTCTGGTTGCTTCATTTGTAAATTTAAATTCTAACACCTATATGCCGCCTGTTTTAAATGCCACTAAACATTAAATCGTTGAGTATGTTTTGTTTTTCTGAAAATAGATCTAATTTGCCAACCTTTATTAACCAGAGTTACCAAACCATCTGTGAGAAATATCCTTCGTTTCGTGAAAGATCTGAAAATGTTGATCTTGTGGTGGAAATTTCAATGCAACCGTGGAAGGTTTTCAAGCCTGATGGGGTAAGATAACTCTCCAGCAGTTATTACTATGTTTATGCTTTTTATGGTATTTTGTTGCCCTACTTTTTGAATTATGGTTCGGATTTTGTTGTCATTAATTATTTGCTTGGTACTGATTCTTTGACAGGTGATTTTATTCTCAGACATTCTTACACCACTTTCTGGAATGAATATACCATTTGATATTGTGAAGGGTAAGGGTCCTGTCATATTTGATCCTGTTCACTCGGCTGCCCAGGTTGATCAAGTGAGGGAGTTTATTCCTGAAGATTCAGTTCCATACGTTGGTGAAGCACTCTCAATTTTGAGGAAAGAGGTCTGACTGGTCTTCTGCTACCTTTTCATCTCTGCTTTTGTTCATTTCACACCATACTTCTTTTTATAGCTTGAGCCTTTCTATTTAGTCAAGTACCATAAGAAAGGGAAACCTTTATATTTATTTGAGTTAAAAGGCACTTGTGCATTTTATGGATGCTCATGGGTGGAGGTTTGTAATGACATGAAATGATTGAAAATATGCTCATTGATTTGTTATCAGATGGTACCTCAGGTTTGTAGCAGCATGTAATCTTGAAAACTTGCAGAACTATCTATTTTATTGAACTGTCCATCCTGCAGGTGACTATTAAGATGATATGAGTTGATTTGTATGTCTCAGTTGTATTAAATAGCTGTTTCATGTTAATAGTAAATGGTGGAGCTTCACGGAGACTCTAAATATCTAACTTCTAAATTTCATATTGTTGTTACTTTATTGTTATTCTCTGTAAACCAATTAATGATTATGTCCCTATGATTTATTATCTTATAGAATTTAACATCTTAATCATTGATTGCAGGTGGATAATAAAGCCGCAGTCCTTGGTTTTGTTGGGGCTCCATTCACACTGGCATCATATGTGGTTGAAGGTGGTACATCAAAACACTTCTCAAAAATAAAGAGATTGGCTTTCTCTGAATCCAAAGTAATTTTCAATCGTCTTCCCTTATTACTCAGACCCAATAAATTTGTGGGCATGGCAATTTACAAATGTGCTTATGTTTCATGTTAGTTTCATTCAGCATTTTAAAATCTAAAATGCACTGATCACTCCACCCAGTCATCTGAAATCTGAAATGTACATTGATGGAACAACTATAATTATTGATCTTATGATTAAAAATCAAGTCTTAACCAAAAAGGAAGTCATTTGTTAACCAATACGTGAGTTTCTTTATTATTATTTAGTTTTTAGTATGATATTTACTTCTAGAGTGACAAATTATTTCTTTAACAAGTCATACTCATTTACTTCATTAAACTGTGATTTGTCCACAGATCCTGCACTCATTACTGCAGAAATTTACAACATCAATGGCAAGATACATTCAATACCAAGCTGACAATGGAGCTCAAGCTGTTCAGATATTTGACTCATGGGCAACAGAGCTTAGTCCAGTGGATTTTGAAGAATTCAGTTTGCCTTATTTGAAGCAGATAGTTGATATTGTGAAGAAAACACATCCAAAACTCCCTTTGATACTCTATGCAAGTGGGTCTGGGGGTTTGCTTGATAGGCTATCTTTGACAGGTGTGGATGTAGTTAGCTTGGATTGGACGGTTGATATGGCTGATGGTAGAAGGAGATTGGGACCAGATATTGCTATTCAGGGTAATGTGGACCCTTGTGTCCTTTTTGGTCCAAAAGACTTCATCACTGATAGGATAAATGATACTGTGAGAAAAGCAGGTAGAGGGAAACATATCTTGAATCTTGGTCATGGCATTAGAGTAGGTACACCTGAGGAGAATGTTGCACATTTTTTCGAGGTTGCCAAAGGAATCAGATATTAAGATGCTAATTTTTATTATTATTTTTTTAGTCTTAGTTTAGTTTATTTGCTGTTAATTATATCTCTAATTAAAATTATTAAATAAAGCATAATGTTAAAATAGTATTGAGATTATTGCCTATTGAGATTATTGCCTATTGGATTGAGATTATCTCTAATTTCAAAAGCCCCGAACATG